AAGTACAAAGGCTCAGAGGTGAGAAAAGACAATTCTGAAAACTGAAAATAGAGGTGTGGATGAGATACCTATTGGGGAGCTTGGAGATGTTGGGGGCTAGATTGTATCAGGCAATGTAAGCAATAGGTGTAAACTAGGAGATTGCAGGCAACAGGACCTCCTGATTCAACTGACTTAGAATTAAGAACAGTGGATTCAATATCTCAAATAATAGTATCTCAGTAAGTCCATGGTAGGGTAGCTCCCATGCTGGTTAATTACTAGCTCAAAGATATTGTCAAGGACCCAGGTTTTTGCTCTGTTTCTGTTCTGCTGCCCCCATGCTTGTCTCCAATGGCTGTAAGATTTTTGCATACCCAGGCATTGTATGCAAAAATGGTAGAAAAGAGTCCTTCTCCTTCTTATTATGTAAACTTATTGACTTGTATCTCTTAAGATGGAGAAAATCTTTCCCAGAACATATTCCTTCCTCCTGTCATTGCTCCCAGTAGCTGACTTCCCTTCACTATTAGGAGTTAGAATTTCACCATATTTCCATTCTTGATCAAATGAGAGAATGGCCTTCATTGACTTAGACCAATTATAGTTTACTCCCTGGCTTGGGGTTGGAGCCTAGCACTGTTTAAGCACATGGCTTGCATAAGAGTGTGGTTACTGGAATAAAATTGAAATTATTAACAAGGTGGACGAGAGGGTGTTCAGTTTTTGAGTAGGCAGTCAGCAGAATCTGCCACATCATGCTAAGGAATTTGGACTATAGCACACTGAGAGATAAGAAGTAGCATGATTATATTTCACTATATCAGAATGGAGGTGTACTTAGGAGGGGGTGGGTCTCAAGGAGGGGCCACCAATTAGAGGGCTTCCTCAGAGAAATTGTTGGCGCTTGAATTGGGAACACATAGTCACTACCTGGATGGAACTGGGAAAGGAAGTGGAAGGAAGAGAGCCTAGAATGACTTGCAGATTTCTCCTTGGATGAATCAAAGGCTATTTCATCAAAGTTTGGAATATGACGACGGAAGGGTGTTGGAGGAATAAAGTGAGTAGAGAGACAGTGAATTTGCTCTTGGACAATGAGGTGCCCCAAAGATATGAACAGAGGTGAGTCAAGTCAGTGTGATGCTAATACTACTTAAACTCCTTAGAGGTTGGGACAGGATGAAGTTTGGAAGGAAGGGGAACTGATAAGAAAGGGGAACTGATGGTTTGGATGATTTTACCCAAGGCTGGATAGGATCAAGGACTTCTTGAAAAAACTATAAATGTAATTGTAGACAAGCCTTCAAAAAGCAGTTAAAAACCTGTTTTGAAATATGGATTTCTGTAATTTGTTTCAACATGTTGAGTTACACCAAATGAGATGGAGAAATGATCTCAACTATTTTTTTTTTTTTTGGCCTCCTGACTGGAAATGTCAGGACTCAACCCTATGAGCTGTTAATCAGATAAGCATTGAGGCATTAGTAAAGAATTGTACTTTACAAATCACTGAGGGCATATGGACTAACTGAATAAGCCCAAACCAGACATACAAAGCAAGTGTAATGAGAAGGTGTTGGGATTAAAATGTAAGCTTTTTTCTATTTTATAATAGTTATGAAATGTAAATTACAAGATGTCTCAATGCACCTTCAAGTTCTAAGTCAATATAGTTCATAAACCATATGAATTAGGTGCTATTTAAATCATAAATAGGAATTCTTTTTTCCACTCAGAAACACCCATTGAGTGGAACACTGAAATTCGAAATATATCAGTCTTAGAACTGTGCAGTTGGTAGCAACTTTGAAAACTAAAAAAATATTGTTCCAAACATTTTATTTTTCTCAATGGCTACCTTGTTTCAGGCTCTGGAATAACAGAAATGCCTGACATTAATATAATTTTGTGGGTAACTTAACCCAATGGGTAGAATAGTTGGAAGCTGGGATAAAGCATTTAATACAGAAGGGGGATTAAGGGATAGAGAAACAAATGAGAATTGAAGGAGAAAGGCAGTTGAAAAGTCCAACGAAATTGGGAAGGAATAAAGAATAAATAATAATAAAAAAGAATGAAAGAATAATCACAACTGAATATACAAACTGGATAATGAGCAGGCAATATATAATTAGAATTTTGACCTACAACATCTGCAGCAAAGAGGAACTGTCAGGACTTATCAATGATTATCAGCTTTCTTATTTTTTTTTTTGAAGATTTATTTATTTATACAATTGTTAGGGGGAAAAGGATATCCTAAGCTAATTCCATACAGGCTTTGTGGACTCCACCCTCACTCCAGACCAAGCCATCAGGACATTGGGAAAGACAAATTCCCATCACCACCAAAGGCAAGGTTGCTGGAACCTGAGGGTGGAGTTAAGCAGCCAGGTTTCCTATAATAACAGACACGTGGGCCTTGGGGGCGGGGTGTGGGGGGTGAGGGGGGCCCCTTTACACTCTCCTGCCAGCTCACTGCTCTAGGCTAGCTCTCAGAGTGCCTTTGGGTTTCCAGGTCTGCGGATCCGGTAGGACGCATTTAAAACTTTATTTACCTATTTTCTCCCTGAGTTGTACATTCCTCATTTCCCCTTCCCTTGTAAATAAACCTTTTATTAACCTTTGGTGTGTGCCTGCAGTGGAGTATTAAGTTCCTTTAAGCGCGTGGGTGGGGACCTACAGCCAGGCAACCCATTTTATATCAGGGCTGCCCTATAACACTAGCACTGGGTACAGTCAGAAGCGCGGGAGGGTGAGAGAATTCACCAGAGCCAGAGCGGGGAACAGAACAGGCAGACTGACGAAATACACTGCTGAGGGGAGCAGCGGGCACGGCAGAAGGGGTCTGCCATGCCATGTGGGACCCTCGTTGGTGGCCAGGGATTGAACTGGCACTGCAGAGGCTGTGGGCAGCTTTGCAGCCCAGCGCTCAGCCCACCGGGGAGGGCCCAGCTTTCTTTTTTTTTTTTTTTTTTTATAGAGGCATGTTTTATTTATTTATTTATTTGTTTGTTTGTTTTGTTTATACAAGCACTGGGTACAGTCAGAAGCGCGGGAGGGTGAGAGAATTCACCAGAGCCAGAGCGGGGAGCAGAGCAGGCAGAAGGACCGAAGTACACTGCTGAGGGGAGCAGCGGGCGGCAGGAGAGGTCTGCGCGCCATGTGGGACCCTCCTCTGGTGGCCAGGGAGCAGCCGGGGATCGAACTGGCGCCGCAGAGGCTGCGGGCAGCTTCGCAACCCAGCGCTCAACCGCTGCGCCACTGGGGAGGCCCGGGCCCAGCTTTCTTATTTTTGTCTCTGTCCTTCCAACTCAGGACCACATAGAAGAGTTAAATACACTCCCCCAAACCAGTTGCATAAGATGTCCAGCTTCTAGTTAGCCCTCCTCCAGCTTCTCCCGTCTAAAATCTCAAATCCGAGCACACGTGAAACCTCTTTTTTTTTTTTCATTCTTAAGCTTTCTCCCTCACCTGTCTGATATGTGATGGTGTCTGCCTGCCTTGTTACAGCAGACATAGAACAAACAGCCTCTTTTTCTACTCACTTGAGTTATCATTTCCTTCTAGTCATTTCACTTGTTTATCATATATTAGTTGTACTTTCTGTACCTGGTAACACCCAGCATGGATGTGGCAGGTGAGAATTCTAATCCTGGACCATGCATCCATCTATCAATCATGGATGTGGAAACAGTCCCTGCTCTCAAGGTAGTCTGGCAACTGAATATAACTGCAACTCAGTGTGGCAAGTGAAACAATCGGCCTATATATACATAAGGGGAGTAAGAGCAAGGCAGGCTCTTAGGGGGGGTTCCCCGTAAGCCGACTGGTTAGGGATGAGTAGGAATTGGCCCGGGTAAGTGGGAAGGATATTCAAGGCAGGTACAGTGGGATAGAGGCGAGCTAGTATTACCAAAGCCTAAGATGCCAAAAACCTCTGAAGCACACGGCTGGAGTGCAAGGGAGGTGAGGCGCAGCAGAGGCGGCTGCAGAGGCGGGTCATGGATGGCCTTCTATGTGACACCTTTAAAGAGCTTGGTCTTTGGGCCTCCCCTGGTGGCTCAGGCGGTTGAGCGCAGTGCTGTGAAGCTGTCTGCAGCCTCTGCAGCGCTGGTTTGATCCCGACCGGCCGGCGAGGGTCCCACATGGCGCGGCAGACCTCTCCTGTCCTGTCTCCCCGCTGCTCCCCTCAGCAGTGTATTTCGATCCGTCTGCCTGTTCTGTTCCCTGCTCTGTCTCTGGTGAATCCTCTCACCCTCCCGGGCATCTGACCTGTGCCCCGGTTCTTCCATAAATAAACAAATAAACCTTAAAGAGCTTGGTCTTTAATCCAGTTCCAGCGGCTCCCTCCTGGAATGAGAGGGAGCCGGGGTAAGCGAGGACGTGAAAGACAGCATTAAGGAAACATTACCTTTGCATGTTATTACTGTAAGGTCCGGGAGGACAGGGACAAGGCCGCTCATAATGCTTGACTGCGCGCAGTAGACAGTCAGTGAAACTTGAATGAATGAATGAATGAATGAATGAATGAATATAAGAGCTTCGCTGTAGAGGGCATTGTCCCCATTTTGTCCCTACTCTGCCCCCTCCCCTCCTCGGTACAAGGTAAGGAATCCGAGGCATCATTTGGGGGGTTATAGGGAGGGCTTGGGGTTGCAGAATCACCTGCCACTCTGGTGGGCAGGGCTGGGAGACACAAATATCCAATAGGTTGGGGCCAGGGGTGCACTAGTGTGGCGAACACCCCGGACCCACCCGCCGGGTGCCGGAGCCGCGGCGGAGCAGGCAGCGAGGGGAGCCCGGCGCCCCCGCCCCGCTCACCTGCCGCCTCCCCGCCCGGCGGGGCCCCCGCACGATGCCCTCTCGGATTGGGCGCGCTCGCCGTGCCGGGGCGGGCAGCGGAGGCCGAGCGCTCCTGGGGATTGGCCGCCGTGGCGGACGGACGCGCGGCCCGCGGAGCTGGTTTGCCGAGGGCGCAGCCGGCGCGGCGGGCGGGCCCCTCTCGGCGGGCCCCTGTCATTGGCTCCCCGCGGTTTCCTTGGGGACGTGGCGCCGCCGGCGGCCAGGCCTGCTTCCGGCTGGGCGAGAGGCGCGGGGAGCCGCGCGGGGCGGAGCGCAGAGGTGCCGAGGGAGCCGGCGAGCCGCTCGATCCGGTGAGCGCGGGGGCTCCGGGCGGCGGGGGACGGGATGCGGCCGCGGGAGGCCGCCACCTTCGCCGCCTGGGGCGGACGGACGGGGATTGCTCCTTCCTCGGGGACCCCGGGGCGGGTCCGCTGGGCCCCAGGGATGAGAGCGAACGCAGCTGGAGGGGAGCCGGGGGCGCGGATGGGCGCCGCCACCGTCTCGGGCAGGGCTGGTCCCGGGGGCGCTGGAGGTGAGCCTGAAACGCAACCAACTCTTTGCAGGCTGAAGATTTAGGAGATGCCTGGGACAAGGAGACCATCTTCTCAAGGCAAAAGGAAAAGGAGGTGACAGGCGTTGAGACCACTTAAGGGAACCCATGGCTAGGTAAGGCGGCACACTTTCTCCTCAGCTAGGGCCTCAGCGGGAGCTGCCAGGCTGAGTGAGGAACCCCGGGAGGCCGTGGTAGGGGAGATTTACCCCAGGGCTGCATTTGGACTGTGCCGCTTGGTCGGATGAATACCGACACATCGACGTTGCATGTTTTGGAAGGTTGCAACAGTCCACAGCTCCTAGCCCAGGGGTGATGGAGTGAGTTCTCACTTGGCACTGAAAAGTGCTAGTTCTTTCAGATTTCCATTTGAATGAGGCTTGAGGAGGTCAAACAAAGATTTTTATTTTTATTTTTTTTTGCAGTCAACTTTGAAAACACACTGGATTGATATAGAAAGTGATTTTCACACTGGGATACACTTATCCAGACATCATAGTTTTCTGATGCTTTCAGAAAAGATTAGTGTGGATCTGTATTTGACCGTTGTCAAATAGAGTTAAGTGGGGGCAGGTGCAGAGCAGCATGTATAGTGGAAGACCAAAGAACTGGAGATGCACACAGATATATTACAGTCTGTGGTATATATTTATGTACATGAATATACAAGTATGCAGAGAATCCTTGGAAAAACACCTAGAAACTGGGTGGCCATTGTTGCCTTTAAGGGGGAAATAGTGGGATTAGGATAAAAGATTCACACTTTTTACTTTCCTGTTAAACCATTTAATTATTTTTATCTTGAATATTTTTTATAAATAATATTTTTATAAATATTAATATAAATATTTATAAATAATAATATTTTTTATAAATAATAATTTTTATAAATCAACGGAACCCATTTTCTGGCTATCCAGGCACTTGACAGCATTCTTTGTGAGAATATTATAGTGGCTCTGATACTCCAGTGTTATGAGGTTGCCGAGCGAGATTTAATTTTCTCATTAATAAGAGATTAACTCTGAATTAAACCCCTAAGTGCAGACTTTGGAAAACAGAGCAGATAAGGCTTTTCTGATTTATATAGTTAGAAGCACCATAAACCTTACAGTTCCTTTTGTAAAATATGAGGCTGAAAGGACATTGAAACCTGGTGGTATAAATTTTTGTCTTTTTTAGGAAGTACTTTTCTCCAATTTGAAAGATGTTTTTCAGCACTCAGTTATAGATACTTGCCAATCTTTGTCTCATTTCAGGATTAGTTTTTCCTACCTCTGTCCAGCCTCCTGGTATTTCACTGTGCCCACCGTGAGCCCATTTCCCCGGCAGCGGGTAGCCTTCCTGGGACTCTTCTTTGTATTTTGTCTCCTTTTGCTTATGTTGATCATGGACTTTCGACATTGGGGTGCTCCATCACCACGAGACAGGCAATATGAAAGGTGAGTCAGCTCTGATCATCTTTGCCTTGAAGTCATAAATATTTTGATAAGCTTTTTAACACACTGCTACCTTTGACCCTTTAGGGGAATACTGCACTCGCATTGGTGAAATGCATTCCACTTACTGCAGAAAGAGGACCTAAAGCCCCATTTTAGCAATGAGTGGTTTTGTTTCAAGAATGCTGATACAGTCTTTTAGCCATAAAAGGCATCTTTCTATTTTTTTGTTTTGGTGGGCTGAGTTATTGGGTGCATAAATGTTTGGTATTCTTATGCTCACTTGATGAATTGAGCTTTTTATCATTATTGAATGACTCTATCCTTTCTTATATCATTGTTCTGAAATCTACTCGTCTGTTATTAATATAGCTGTTTCAGCTTTCAGAATTAGTGGGATGAATGTTTTTGTACCTTCTTAGTTTTAGCCTGCTTGTGTCTTTATACTTACAGTGGGCTTCTTGTAAGCAGCACTGAGTCTTGTTATTTATCTAATCTGACAACGTCTGCCTTTTAATTGGGATGTTCAAACCATTTATATTAATATGTTTATAGATTATGTCAGGTTTAAATCTGCTGTCTTGCTGTTTGTTTTATGTTTCTCACATCTGTTCTGTTTTTCCTTGTTTTCTCCCTTCTGTTGTATTGAATACATTTTTATGATTCCCTTTTATCTCCTTTGTTGGCTTGTTAGAGATAACTCTGTTTTTGTTTTTTAATGCTTGCTTCAGGGATTATAGTACTTGACTTTAACTGATCATATTCTACCTTCAAGCGATAGTATACTTCTTCACACATAGTATAAAAACCTAACTATAGTATTTTTCACTTCTTCCCTGTTGGCCTTTGTGCCACTGTCACACAGCTTACTTTTACATATGTTATAAACTCAACAACATACTGTTATTATTTTTGCTTTAAACATTCAGTTATCTTTTATTTTTTTTAAAGATATATTTTATTTATGCATACAAAGCTGGGGTGTGGGCCAGAGGTGTGTGGTGGGGGGAAGGTGAGAGGATTTACCAGCGACAGAGTGGGGAGCAGAACAGGCGGATTGACTGAAATACACTGCTGAGGGGAGCAGCAGGCGAGACAGGAGAGGTCGGCTACACCATTGGGTTAGCTCCCTGGCTGGGGATCGAACTCATGCTCTATTGGCTGCTGATAGCTTCATAGTGCTGAGACTTAACCCCTTGCGCCACCAGGAAGGCCCATTCAGTTGTCTTTTAAAGAAAATTTAAAAATAAAAAAAAGACTTGTATATTCTTCATCTCAGGACCTCTTTACTCCTTTGTGTTGATTCATATTTCCATCTGGTGTCATTTTCCTTTTGTCTAAAAATTTCCTTCAACATTTCTAGTAATGAGAGTCTGCTCTCATGATGAATTCTTTCTACTTTTGTTTGACTGAAAAAAATTGTTATCTTGCTTTCCTTTTAAAAGAATTGTTCCTTGGGTATAAAATGCTAGGTTGATCAGTTCCTCTCCCCTCCCCCACCCCTTCATTACTTTAAATATGATGCTCTATGGTCTGCAGGATTGTATTCTTTCTGAGAAGTCTGCTGTCATTTTTATGTTTGTTTTCTACATAATATGTGTTTTATCTCTAGTAGCGTTTAAGGTTTGCTCTTTATCCTTGGTTTTAAACAATTTGATTATGATGTGCCATGGTGTAGTTCATGATTTTGGTACTGTAATTTGTTGATTCTGTCTTCTTCCAGTTCTCCTGGAGTCAAGAGTATCGATATAGATAGATAAATAGATAGATATAGAGGTATCTATCTATATAGATATATAAATCTATATATCTCCTCCCTGACTGGGGATTGAACGCAATCTGCAGTAGCTGTGGATTGCTTCATAGTGCTGATGCTTACCCTCTTGCACTACCAGGGAGGCCCCTGTTTTGCTGTTTTTTTGAGATTAGTGTCTTCCAAGCCTTTCAAAGTCTTCCCTGTGCTCTTAGGATAATGTCTAAACTCCCTAAAATGGCTTAGCAGGCTTAGCCTGATCTGCCTCTCCAGCTTACACAGCTCATCACTCACTCCCTAATAGTTTTACTCTAGCCAGATTAACCTACATGGAATTCCATAATTAGACCAATTAGAACATGCGCCTCATCTTCAAAACGATTTGCTCTTTATTGCTTCTCAGATATCTATCAGCTAGAATGCTTTGGGCTGCAAATAATAGTCAACTGTCTTAAATAATAAGAAAATATATTGACTCATATAACTAGAAATTCAGGGGATAGAGAGAATACAAGTTTAACTTTGATTGGCAGGATGGGATTCTCTATTTGTCCATAGAGTCAGCTTACTTAACGGTTGCAAATTAGCAGCTAGTAGCAACCGGGGCTACATACATCCTCAACTTATATCCTGCAGAGAGAAACAGGCCTTCCATGGCTCTCTTATGAGAATGTAAATCTTTTCCAGAAATCTCTAGCAACCCTTTCTATGAATCTTTTATTATTAGCCTACCTCCCCTAATATTTCTGGGTTGTTCTGTCCCCAGAATTTCTCACTTCCTATTCACATTAGTCATTCATTCATTCATTGTCACCCAATATGCTGGGTGATAATAGACATGAGGGCCTGAAGACTTTGGTACCTTTACTTAAAATGTTTATGTTTTCAACCCCTCCTCTAACAGTATTATTCATTTGTATTTCTCCTTTTCCCAAAGAGAAACTTTTGTTTAGGTAGATGACTACAGTTGTCAACAATTAGCCTTAAGAAGCTTTGGAGAAATCCATAAATCCATAATTTGAGTTTCTTTAATGTTTATTGGGGTTTTCTTGATAGATTAGGGCACAATTTCCCCCTGGAATATAGCATGGTCTAGTTATGGAATAGGTTAATATGGCTAGAATGAAGGCTACTAAATGAGCTACATAGAATGAGAGTTAGGTCAGGATGGGCCTGTTAAATCATTTTAGGGGGTTTAAACATTATATGAAGGGCTTTGGAAAGACTTTAGAAGGCTTTGGAGAGTGAAATGACCTAAAATGATTTGTAAAGAAAGCTTACTTTGGTAGCATTGTGGAGAATGAGTTGGAAAGGAATAAAAATGAAAGCAAGAAGACAAATTGAAATACTTGAATAGAAAGGTTATGGTAGCCTGAACTTGAATTTGGGTGGCAGCCATGACAATTCTGAGATGTAAGTGCATTGGAGAGATCAGCAGGAGGGAGAGATCCAGTAGTTCTTGTCTGCCATTATACACCAAGTGGTCAAATCCAGTAAATACTTGTTAAGTTGAATTAAAACAAGTTTGCTGCAGCATTAAGGAACACACAGATCACTCTTATGGTGGCCTTACCAAAGTCTTCACACCCTATCACGCTCTCGCTGAGCAGCCAGCAGCTATGCAACCTAAAGCTTCTTGTTCTTTAATGAAAAGAACAAGATATTTCCATACGTCATTACTTTACTTATGGCAGCCTCCATGAGTCATTTAAGAAGCTTAGATGTTTGTTGAGAGCTTGTTGTGTGCCAGACACTGGGCTAGGCACTGCAGTACAAAGATGAATAAAACTTGGGAACTCATGGTTTCATCATCTAGAGTTAGGGAGGCAGGTATGAAGGAAAAACTATTTCCCAATGAGATAATATTTTATATATAGCTGTGCAGAATCAGGAATTATCAGGAACTGTACACAGTCAAGAAATCAGGAACAAAGTTAAGAATCAGAAATTAATCAGAAGAGGCCCATGAGTAACCAACTTTGCTATCACCAAGTTCATATACTCTTATCACTAAAAACTCGTGTATTTTACTAATAAAGGAGGCTTCCACATCGAGCCCATTTGCTTTTATTTAACACATTTTTAAATTATTCTGGTTCTCTCTCCTGTCTCAGAACACAGCAGATAACAGCAAATTAGAATGGTGAGAATCGAGTGTGGTGGTCTTTGGATGTGACACACTGATGACAATTAGCCACATCTGGCAGCTGGACAGTGAGGCAGAAGAAAGGAAATTTATTCAAGGAAGACACAATAACTCAGTTTCTATAGACCATTTTTTAAAAAGATTTATTTATTTATACAAGAACCAGGGTACAGGCCAGATGCATGGGAGGGTGAGAAGATTCACCTGAAACAGAGCAGGGAACAGAACAGAACAGGCAGAATGACTGAAATACACTGTTGAGGGGAGCAGCGGGTGAGACAGAAGAGCTCTGCTGTGCTATGTGGGATTCTCGCTGGCTGGCCAAGATTGAACCTGCGCGGAATAGGCTGTGGACAGCCTCACAGTGTGGCACTCAACTGCCTGCGCCACGAGGGAGGTCCTCTACAGACCATTTTTATAGTGGCAAGCAGTGATACACATTTTGTTAAAATTTATTTTTTTTAAAGTCTTTTTAAAGTCTTTTTTTTTTTTAATAGAGGCATGTTTTATTTATTTATTTAGTTTGTTTGTTTGTTTATACATGCACTGGGTACAGTCAGAAGCGTGGGAAGGTGAGAGAATTCACCAGAGCCAGAGCAGGGAGCAGAGCAGGCAAAGGACCGAAGTACACTGCTGAGGGGAGCAGCGGGCGGCAGGAGAGGTTTGCATGCCATGTGGGACCCTCCTCCCGTGGCCGGGGAGCAGCTGGGATCGAACCGGCGCCTCAGAGGCCACGGGCAGCTTCTCAACCCAGCGCTCAACCGATGCGCCACCGGGGAGGCCCTGTTAAAATTTATTTTTTAAGAGTTTTTTTTTTTTTTAAGATTTTATTTATTTATACAAGAGCTGAGGTACAGGCCAGAGGCATGTGAGGGTGAGAGGATTCACCAGAGACAGAGCAGGGAGCAGAACGGGCAGACCGACCGAAAGCACTGCTGAGAGGAGCAGCAGGCAAGACAAGAGAGGTCTGCCGTACCTTGTGGGTATCTCCCTGGCTGGCCAGGAATCGAACCCGCGCTGCAGAGGCTGCGGACAGCTTCACAGCACTGCAGTCAACTTGCTGTGCTACCAGGGAGGCCCATTTTGTTAAAATTTATTACACAG